TAGTTACCACACAAACACACATGCATGCACAATATCACCATCCTTTCTATGCTTGTATATATGGTAGAGGCGCTTGGTGAAGCGGCTATCCGCAACCCTTACTCGGAAGAGTACATGCGGACGAAGGGCAAGGCAGCATCAACTGATGCCCTGTCGGACACTGTGTCCACAGCCACGGCTTCCTCGGAATACGAAGCCCGATACAAGGCCCTACAGGACATCCTCAAGGACAAAGACGCTCAAATTCAAGAGTTGATCAAAGAGCTGGCGGATGCGAAGGAGCTGATCCGGACGGCTGGTCAGCGTGGTGAGGCCGAGACGATCGAGGAATCGGCTTCTGAGCCGGCTGCTGATCCGGCTGCCACAGTAACGAGTGCCGCCGCCAAACAGCGCCTACGAAGACTTTGTGAACGACGCGCCGGGGGGGCCCTGTCAGTGCCGGAAGAAGTGCACCAGCAGTGGAAGTCCGGAGGTGCTGCGCGTGATCGGCTGCTCAAAATCTGGATCGGTTCGGGTTTCGAGAAAGAGGCCTTTCTGCGGACCTTCACGCACGAGTGCAAGAAGTCGAAGGAATTGAAGGTATCAATCACAGGCGATTTTTTCTCGGAGGAGGAAATGCGAGACGAGCTCCAGTTGTCCAAGTCGCTGGGTCAATTATATACAAATTTAAATTCTATGCACTATATAGCTCGATCGTACAATAAGTATATGGTATGTGTGCATACTATAACATATATAACATATATAANNCTTATGACCATGCATGCATGCATACACATGCACATGCATGACATAACCCTCCAGCTCAAAGTGTGCTGCAACATACACATATAGCTCCTCTTTAATTTAACTAACATAATGTACCCGAAACTTCCCTATCGTGAGCTTGCATGCAAGCAATGTTGTAAATATATATATATATATATACCCTAAACCTTAAACCCTGGAAACCCTAAATAAGTATAATAAATCATAATATATGTGCATGCATGCACGCATGAACCCCAAACACCCGACCAAACATTCGATGCCTCAGGGCTCGCATGGACGAAATCAAGGCATGGTGCGAGAAGAACCCCAGCTTCAAAAGGACTGCACTGCAGTTGCTTGCATGTGTCTGACGCATGCATGTGTAAACTATGCTTGCATGGCTCCCACCGGCAGGTTGGACACTTACAATTCGGGAAAAGTGCGTTACTGGTGTGAGCGCAAGGCTTCAGCCAGCATGGAGCAGGCGCACCGCACAGAGATCACAGACAGAACGACGTTCGAAGCGGAGCCGGACATGGATGAGAAGGGTGAAAACATCACCCTCCGTGATGAATGCCAAGACTTCAATTTCAGTGATTTCTCCTGTGCTGCCCCAGCGGCCTCCGGAGCATCCAGCAGCAACAATCCCAATCCTCAAGTGCCAGGAGGCGACACCAGCACTTCAAAACCTAAGTTAAGTCCGGCCTATATAGAAGCTAAGCCCCTATATCAATTTAATATATAAGCCCAGCTAGACCCTGTATATATAAATCCTATCCCCTATATAGGTATGTAGCCTGGAAAACCGTCAACAGTGGAGCCTTGTAGAGCCCGGCCGTTTTGGGGGTTGGAGCTCGGGTCCGTCTCTCCCTCTCCCTCTTCCTCTTCCTCTCTCTCTCTCTTTCTCTCTCTCTCTCTCTCTCTCTCTCTCTCTCTCTCTGGGTCTTTCTAGGGCTCGTATGAAATAGGTTATATGCTGGGTTCTAGGCTTGAATACTTGGTGCTCGGGTATAAAGAAATCTAGAACCATGCATGCAGAACCCTAAACCCTAAACCTCAGGCCTTTCAACCCGACTTTAAGTTATCATGCCAGGCAAAGATCCTGTTGCCCAGCTCGGCTTGCCGATGCTGATGGGGTCTGAGAAACCCGAGACCCATCTCATGACATACCAGACTTGTCTCATGAACCGCATCAGCAAGCTCACGGATGCAAGAAGCAAGCCGGATGCCATCCCCGCCAAAGATCAAACCGATGCTGTGAAGAAGCCCCCTGGACGGTAACGTTCCCAAACTGTTGCCTTGGACCTTAAAATTATCCTCTGAATAAAACCTCGACCCTAAGAAACATCCCAGGCTGCTTCAGAAGATCGATAGCAGCTTGTCTACGATGGACACATTGCACGACCAGCTCTCCGAGATCTACGCCGATGCAAGTGTGCAAGGCCATGGCCCTGGGACCCTCGGACGTACCACAATAAGACTTATATATATATATATAAACATAATAAACTTGAGAGAATTAAGAAACCTATTTGTAATCCCACAAATCTGAGGCAGTCGGCTGCTTTGAAAGACTTGTACAAGAAGGCAACCCGGGTGCCACTCGGATGCAATCCTTTTCTTCGTTTCGGCAAACCTTATCGATGTCATATATATAGGCCTTGTTGTAACTTTAGTCGTACAGTCTCAAACACTATGCAGACAGTTGCGAAAGTTCTCGCACCGCTCACGGTTGGGAAGTCGTGTACTCAAACAACTCCTGGCCAACCCTTAACACCAAACCCTAAACCCTGAAACCCTAAACCCTGAAATCCTAAACCCTATATCCTAAACCTAAACCCTAAACCCCTAAACCCCCAAACGCCTAAACCCCTAAACCCCTAAACCCCTAAACCCCTAAACCCTGAAGCCCTAAACCCTAAGAGTGTGGCCAGCTCTAACACGGATCAACCCTGCCCAAACCTCAATCCCTTTCAAGCCCCCTCGGACCCCGAAATTATCAATCAGAAAACGCACTGTCTTACCCAGCCAACCAAAACCACGATAGAAGCAAGCGCCCCACGTTGTGAAAAACCCTTAGTAGT